ACGGCTAACACCTCCTAATTTGTCCTAAGCAGAAGTTAACGAGGCCTACTGGGGAGAAGGTCATTAAAGTCTGGGGAAGTGGAAGTCCTGCTGACAGAGACAAGGGACCAGTGTGTGTGTGTGTGTGTGTGTGTGTGTGTGTGTGTGTGTCTTCAGCCTCTCGTTCTAACTCAACCTCGCAGTCATTTTTCACCTTTCACTATAAGAAAACACGTCTAAACCTGGTCGTTAACGACTTTTTAAACAGTGCTAATGTGCTAACGCTAATGTGCTAACGCTAATGTGCTAGTGCTCCGACTCCGATCTGCTACAGGTTCTTTGCTGTGTGTTTTTCTTTCCCGCAGTCGGGGCAGAAAACTGCTCTTCCATCAACTACAGGACACAGGTACTGGTGACAAATATAACATTTAAAAATTAATATAAAAGTGACGCTAATATATTTATTTGACATGAAGTAAACATTGTCCTGACATGAAGTAAACACTGTCCTGACATGAAGTAAACACTGTCCTGACATGAAGTACATCTGACTCTTCAGTCTGAACCTGTTTGCTCTTTTTTTCTATAGCTGCAGAATTTCTTTTATAAACGTTTTTTTTTATATATTTCGCTTTTTCTCTTTCGTTAACTGAGTTTAAACTGATGTCGTTTGTCTTAGAACACTGTGACGTAGCCTTCTATTATTGGTTTATATAAAAATATATAAATATATATATAGGGATGTAAGAAAATATCAATAGATTGAAGTATCAAAATATTTCGATTCACGATACCGTATCGATATTCTCTATTACTGTATTGATTTTTTTATTACCAATTCCCAATTCAGTATTTCAAAACTCAATATATCACTTTGCCAATAGTATCGCAATATATATCGCATCGTGACGCGTATTGTATCGCCAGATTCTTGCCAATACACAACCCACAAAAATCCTTAAAATCCCTGGTGCGGGTTCACATTTTCATTGTGGAAAATCTAATACTGTATACATGTATTTGTACTGTACATGTACATGTACATGTACTTGTACTGTACATGTACTTGTACTGCATATGTACTTGAAAATGTCACCTGGTTACTGAGTAACAAAATCAAATCAAAACCAAAAATCATTTAGGATTAAATCACAAGGCCTGTTAGCTAATAGGCCGCAGTGTTAGCTTACAGGCCTCAGTGTTAGCTAACATGCCTCAGTGTTAGCTAACAGGCCTCAGTGTTAGCTTCAAATCAAAACCAAAAATCATTTAGGATTAAATCACAAGGCCTGTTAGCTAATAGGCCGCAGTGTTAGCTTACAGGCCTCAGTGTTAGCTAAAAGGCCTCAGTGTTAGCTAGTGTGGAGCAGACGTGTAAAGTTCCTCTAAAGGTTAGCGCTACAGACAGCCGCCCCAGCAGGTAGACAGCTAACCGCGTTAAGCCTCAGTCTCAGGTTACACCGTGTATAAAAATGTTCTAATGACATAATGAGTACAGCGCGTGTCAAAGCCAATGTGGCTACAAAGATTACGTGTCAATTTGTACGCAGCATGCTCAGGGAGTGCCGCCTCTAAATGATGTCCCGAAAGTATTCCAAGCTAAGGAACATGACGTGCCGCTCGAGCTGGTTGCAAAAGGTTGGACTGGCTAATAGTTAACTTGGCAGCGGGATAAAAGGTTACACCCAGGTTTACAGTATATTTGCATATGTGCCTGTTTGTTTGTGGGTGTGTTGACATTTATGAAACTGGACTCCCAGGAACACTTCAAAGGCAGCGCCGGCAGATAGTACATTTGGTGATAATGATTTGTTTGAACGACAAAGATAATAACGAAACAAAAAAAAAAATATTCGCCAGGAAACTCACCAGTTCAACCTTTCACCAGCCTCTGTTAGCCTCTGTTAGCCTCTGTTAGCCTCTGTTAGTGTCTGTTAGCCTCTGTTAGCCTCTGTTAGCGTCTGTTAGCATCTGTTAGCGTCACAGGTCGTTCCCTGAAGTTCACCTCCTGTGCACCCGGAGCAGTCAAACCACACCATGTGCTTCCATGGCAGCGAGCTCACCACTGATAAACATTCCTCAGACTGTGGTGGAAACTGTTTAAAAAGAAGAAAAAAAAAAAAAAAAAAAAAGAAAAACTGCTGTGAGTGTCTTTGTCAGGAGCCAGGAGTCAGTTTCTACAGCTGAGGTGGAACCAAGTCCAAGGCCCCTCTTTGGCTGCTGCACCACTGGGGGGCAGTGCTTTGTCTGCCTTCATACAGATGTGTCTTTGTTGGAGCAGACTCACGGGGACACAGTGAACACATATATATATGTGTATATATGTGTAAATATAGATTAGATATCTGAGACATTTTTCATCGTGTGAAAGGAGAGTTTTGACTTTGAGAAAATAATTCTCAAATCAGATTTTTTTTTTTACTTCTCTCTCTTTTTTTCCCCACTACAATTTTTTCTTTTCATTGAATTTAAACAAAGAAAGTCCATGAACAGAACAGAAACCAAACAAAAACAAAAGAATATAAAAACACAAAAAAAAACAAAAAAAAAACAAACAAAAAACACAGACAGAGCAGTAGTAACAATAAAACTTCACGCAGGGTTTTTGAAACACAATCTCCTTTTTTTTTTAAAGCAAATCTTTCATTGGTTTAGGTAAATAATTTAGAAAGGGAGATTTCATGTTCTGAATACTGAGGGCACAGGTGTCAAACTTAAGGCCCATGGGCCGATTCTGGCCCACAACATCCACTGATGTGGCCCACGTGTGTATGGTCTTTATCTTAAAATAAAAGTCAACAGTAAAGACTCTGTCCTTACAGTTACATTAGGGCTGTGCATCGGCAAGAATCTGGCGATACGATACGATGTATCGCTATAAATATATCGCGATGCTAAAGTCGTGGCGAAGGATTTTTCTGGATAAACACATGAACAAAATAAGGTTTGTTGAATCAAAGTCTTAAATACTTGCAGTCCTTGTAGTATCAACTAGTGGTCGGAGGTTTAAATGCAACAAAAATGAACCAACGGCAAGAATATTTGCTTGTTAATTGTTAATAAAAACAAAACAATCTTTACAGTGATGTGGAATATCGATATAATATTGACAAATTTAATATCGCAATATTTCAATGCACCAAAATTCCCGTATTGCCTTAGTACTTAAGTACGTTTCCGTTATTTTCTTGACGTCAAATGTAGTATTAGTGACTGAAGCCTCACCCTGTTTGGTCCGCTCTAGAGGGTCAACTAGAGGTCAAGACGAGGACTGCACACAATTAAGCAGTGTGTATTATTATCACAGCTGGAGGTAAAGACCAAAATAAATAAATAAATAAAAAAAACAACAACACACAAACGCCTCCTCCTCCTCCACCGCCGCCGCACACGCCTGTTCTTCTGTTTCCTTTTTTTTTCTTTTCTTTTCCATCTCCAGTGAACTGCAGGAGGCTCGGCTTCACTGGAACGCTACCGGGTTTGAGCTGTTTCAATTGAAATAGTTTGGCCTCAACACCTCCACCCCTGCTAGCCACAGTGTCACAAACACTTACATA